GAATAAACATTAGGGCTTTTTGCTAACTGAATTCAAAGTTCTGCCGAGTAAAGTGGCCAGGGAGGAGGTGGTGAGCGGGGCTCATTCTGGGATTTTGTTTTCATACCCTGAAGCACCCAGCTTTGTAAGTCTATCCATGGTCTCCTCCTGCAAAGCAAACAGCTCACTGGTCCCTGCTTGACTGTGTTAAAACACCCTTGTGAGCCCCATCAGAAGGACAAACATACTCCACTCCAAGCCCAGCACCAGTGGCTCAGGACCAAGCCACCCAGGAAGGAGGGCCACCTTCAGTGTCACAAGCCCAAGCCTAGACAGAGGGGCCATCTCATGCTTCGACTTCCTTCATGCATGCCTGCCTTTCCTGCTGACCTTCCCTTGAGCACCGTACTGGAAACTGCTGTGAGAATCATGTGGCAAACTGACTCACTTTCCCGGCAGTTGCTAGGGTGAGGGCGAGGGGCGGTGGAGGGGGTGGTGATCTTCTCAGTCTTTGCCCTTGCCTGGGAACAGGACAGCTGAGCATTCCTGGGAAGCCACGGGGGACTCTGGGTGGGTTCTCCCACAGAGCCGTCCTGACCTCTTGGATTGAAGATCTAAGCCTTAAGCCTGAGGGGAATGCCCTGATGCAAGTTTCCATGACAGCAAGTGGCTGCAATGAAGGATCAGGACAAAGCAGAGACTGCCCCAGGGTCACTGGGTAGCTAGGGTGACTGAGAATAAGAATACATCTATCCCCAAGGAGCAGGGGCACCTCTGTGGGTGCCTGTGCGGACTCACCTTCTGAGCAGCTAGGTGCTGGTAGCCAGAAGGTAGTTGCCGAGGAGCTGGGTCCAGTGAGACACAGCACTCACAAGCAGGCAGAGAAGTTTTCCTACTCCCTGAAGGCAGTGAGCATAAGGGCACTGCTACCCAAGGCTCAGTAAGGCAGCCAGGGGAGATGGGTTCTCTCTCGGACATGACCACCTTGGATTACACAGGGGCTCTGAGGATGCTCGGCTCTGGCACCATGTAGCTTACTGAGTTTCAGAGTTGCAGAATGATATCTGGTGGAAGGACTACACAGCCTGGGGACTCTAGATTATCTCATCTCAGGACACTATTCTGTCTGCCTTTCACCTGAGACCTACGGGCAAAGGCAGACAGCTAAGCCAGTGAGGTCTTCCAGGAGCTACTGCTCGGAGCCTCGGCCTGCACCTGTCCTGCTCTCCCTGCTCTGGAACGCTCCCCAGCTAGTCTAGGTCTTTGCTCTCTGACCTCCCACAGACTGGCTCAAGTCTTGGGTTCGTAGAGGCCACACAGCTGAGGAGACAAGGAGCTCCTCAGAAGAATCGAGGCCACTTCCGTCCCCGCATTGGAGTTGGTCTTTAAGGATACCCAGAAGCCCTGGCTTCACCCTTACCTCTGAGACAGTCACCAGTGTCCCTTGAAATTGTTATCTTGTTTCTTACCATGTCACAGGAACCTACCAAATGGTGAAGCAAGAAGATGTTTCAGTATCTAATCCTAGATACTGAAGTTAGTCTATATACATGCCCCTCGCAAAGGCCAAAGAGCGTTCCAATGTCATGGGGTAACAGTGAAATTCCTGAACATAGCACAGAGAAACAGAAAGAGACATGGCTCCACAGTTTAAAGCCCTGGACATGGGCTTGGTTCTCAGTACCAGTATGGCAGCTCACAAGTAACTGCAATTTTAGTTTCTGGGCATCTGACACCCTCTTTTGACTTCTGTGGGCACCATATAGGCCTGTGGCACACAAATATGTATGCAGGCAAAACTCCCACATACATAAAATAAAAATAAATAAGATAGCCTAAAGAAATAGCCTTGGATGAAAAGACAACCCTCCTCTAAAGATAAGATTTTCTCCTGGTGTAGGCCTGACAGCTAAACAGAACCTCCAAATAAATTCCAAAGAACCCTTTGGATATGTGGGCTGGAGAAGTCAAGTTCAGTTGCCCAAGAGATTTCTGAAAAAGATGACAGTTGAGCATTTCCTTGCTGCACTGAAAACAGAAAGTTGAGAACCAGAATCTAGAAGCAAGAAATGCTAATATCGAGGCAGGCAGATCTCTGAGTTCCAGGCCAGCCAGGTCTACAGTGAGTTCCAGGCCAGCCAGCCAGGGATACACAGAGAAACTCTATCTAAAAAATAAAAACAACAAAACAACATCAGCAACAAAAAACAAACGAACAACAAAAGAGAAAGGGCTGCTAGTGTGAATGGGGCAACACAGAAGCACACAAACAAAAGAGTCTCACCTTCAACAGACGGAGAATCAGGCCAGTGCACAAGTCAACAAGCTAGCCAGCTGAGTCTATCTTGATCCCCACCTCACACCACGCCCCTGTCAATAAATCCCGAAATGTAACCGAAGGGAAATTAATGCAAATGCAAATGATCCTGGCCCGAGGTGAATTCCTAAGTGTGATTTCAAGCCTGGAGCACACATGCTTCTTGGGCTTTAAAGTTAGAAATAGTTCTGATTTTTTAAAGCTAAAGCTACTTTAAGTCCAAATGAGAAGGCTAATACATTACAAGGCAAATGACTAATAAAAGGAAAATAACTTACAGAGGATATCCAAGGCTTTCTACTTTCAATATGTAAGAATGTTTTACAGATAGCCAGGTGTGGTGGTTCATGCCTTTGATCTCAGCATTTGGGCAGAGGCAGGCAGATCTCTCAGTTTGAAGCCAGCCTGTTCTATGTAGCAAGTTCCAAAATAGCCAGGGCTATGCAGATAGCCCCTTTCTGGAAACAAACCAAACTAAAACAAACAAACAAACAAACACTTTACAGATACAACACTTGAGTTTAACTACTCCATGAGGCAAAAAACAAAACTGGGAGGGTAGGGGGATCGCTCAGTGGGAAAAGGGCTGGCCACACAAGCATGAGGATCTGGGTTCAGATCCCCAGAGCCCACATCAAGCTGTGTGTGGTAGTGTGTGTCTACAGTCACAGTGCCTCTACAGCAATGTGGCAGGGAGAGACATTTATTTACCTGCTGGTAACAGTGGAAAGCCAGGACTGACTCCAAAGGTCATCCTCTGACCTATACATGCTTACTGGGGCACGTATATACCTGCATTCTCTCCCTCCCATTCTCTCTCTCTCTCTCTCTCTCACACACACACACACACATGCATGCACGCAGCATGCACACGCACATGCACGCATGCACCCTTGCACACATGCATGTACCCATGCACACATGCACCTAAACATTTTTAAAAGGACAGGTGCCACCACAGGACAGCAAGAACAAATGAGGATGGGTTGTGAGATGAGACAGGACATATAGGTGACCCACTCAGGCAATATCAAAGGCAATTGGATGGTACCTCAGCTGCTATGAAATGCTTCCACCCTGAGGACATGGTTTCCTGCCTTCCTGGGAAGCAGCTGGGGAGGAGACTGACCAAGTGCATCTCTTTCCAGCCTCGGATTTATGTGCTGTCACAGATCTGCTGATGTTTGTGCTTACACAATGCGTGCAACAATGTGCCTCTCCATAAGTGAGACTGATGCACAGCTGGTAGGCTCAGCTGGCCACTGCCCTGCCTGTCTTTACTCTTCTATGGCAACTTGATACCCAAAGTCCTACGGCAGAGGGTACAGAGTGAGTCCTAGCAAGCCCCTTTTGATAGCTAGCCAGAGTAAGCCACATGCATGACGTACAGGTATGTATGTGCCACATTGAGATCAGAGTGCAATCATCTAGACTTGTCTCTCAGGAAGAGGCTGAGAACTTTGGAGGTCCATGAGGTTTGATGGGGGAAACAGCCATACCATCATTTCAAGTGGGAAAAGATGCCCCCTCCCCCATCCCTCCCCCCATGTGAAGAAAAGCATCCAATAGAATGCAGGCTAACACTGGTTGATGCAAAGCCAGGTGATGATGGAGATCCTTGGGAGAGGCAAGATGACCACACAACACAGGTCACTCCCACTGCGCAAACTTGTGGGTGGAGGCAACTTGGCAGGAGCCAAAAAACACAGTGAACAGGCTGTATGCCTTGTGACCAAAGTAAATGAGTAAAAGGTGTGAGGTCGCCAGAAACACTTTTCCTCTTTGAACTCTGCTATTGCCCAACAGCACCCATACACAGCAGGAGAAAGCAGGGCTTCAATTTCAAACTTTATTGCAATTATTCAGGTTTTTACTGCTGTTTACAAATGTTTCATTTTTAAGGGCCCTTTACAAGTGTGTCTTAATAACATGGCCCCGGCCCATAGGCCTGTCTCACATGCCACCAGCCTCACCCTCAGGACTGAGGAGTGAAGTGCATGCACACAGAGACTTGGGATATAGACTTCATCCCTGAACGTCATGTGATGCCTGCAAGCTAATAGCACAGCCATCAAATATGGTGTCCAGAGAGCTAGTCTCTGTGCCAGGGACAAAAACATACCCAATGGATGGATATGAAAATACACACACACACTTTTTTTAAAAAACCATCAAGACTGCTTTGTGACCACACATAAGCTCTTGAGTCCGTGAGCATGCAATGGAGCATGGCCAACCCACCAGTGGCCACTCTTAAAGGAAACTGACTCCCCCTCCCTCGGAAGCTACGGCTGCTGATAATTTTTCTATCACTTCAAATCTATTGGCACTGGCCATCGAAGGAAGACTGCCTGATCCTGGGAACCATGTGACTTATCTTAATGCAACACTCTAGTGACTGTGGCCATTTCTGTGATCTGCTGGTCAGTCTCCAATCAGACAGGATAGTAAATCAAGCCCCCACACAAAAATATGGTCAGGTGAGCAGGTGGCTGAGGCGACCACTGTGTGGCAGGACTAAGATGTCAGACTTAGTCATCACTGTTGGGGAAAGCCGCAGATCCGGGTGGAGGGGATCATCTGTGAACACACGGCCCCCATGTTCCACAAGGACTTCAGCTGGCGGTCCCCAGAGCCAACCCATGCCATTGGGCTGGGGTGGGACTCTAGGAGGGGTCTGAGTCACGATGGGGGCACGGCTTGCGGGCTCAGCAAGCACCTGGGGCTCAGAACACCCCTCAGGAAGGCTAAGGGTATAGATCCTCCCTACAGCTGAAGGGACGGCAGCATGCCCCATACCTCTCAGAAGCACACGTGTGAATTCGCTCAGGGACACTTGGTGGGGACAGATGGCACTGAGCATTTCTCCTGTTTTAGAAATAAAAGGACTGAAACCACTGCCAACCAGTCACTGACAAGGTGGGGACGTCGTGGTGAGTAGGCTACATGTCCCCACACCACACACTTCCTCAGCGGAAACTCCTGGTGCCACCAAAAGAAATAATAAGACATTTTCCCCAAGAAAATCTTGCAGTTCTGTCATTCCGATGGTCCATGGTACAGAGCCATAAATGGCAAGTAAAACCAAGGTATGGCCATACCACAAGAAGGGTTAAAGGATCAGAAGGCAGAATAGAGAAGAAAGCTTTGCAAAAACCTCCTATGGACCCCAAAGTTCACCTAAGCAGAAGCCTTCATTGTGAGCCCTGACTTTACCTTCCTATCTGTATTCCCAAGAGAGAATGGATAAAATTCTTTGTTAAAACCCCAAGGCCCTCGGGGAGACACACTGTGCAAACTCCCTGACCCTGTATGTGAAACATGATTTCCCCCCACTGGAGGATGGGTACAGCAGGCTGACTAGGGACAAGGGAACTATATGGTGTGTGTGGTTTTCGGCATGGATATCTTGGTGTCTCCTGGGTCCAGGCCTCTGGATCAGATGCTTCTGCTGTGGCCCACCTCTCCCACCACGTCTATCTAGAGCTGGGACTTCAGCCTGTTGGCCACAGGTTTGTTGGCAGTGAACTCAGGCCACCAGGTGGCACGCTCTAGCACACCGTTCTGCTGCAGGATGGCTGTCCACAGGTTTTTATAGAGCTGCAGGTAGAAGCAGAGGCCGTAATTAGCAGAGGGTAAGTGTGAGAGAGTGATCGCCTCTGGTTTGTGAGGACAGGAAATCCTTCATATCTCTTTGGGGGGGGGGAGATGTTAAGATGTATGTTTGATTTATATAAGCCTTTTATTTGTTAGTAGGAAGTAATTAGGAAAATTTAATTATGAAGTGCCATAAAAAGCCTTTCTGATGGGAAGCATCCTCCTGTGAAATGTTCCCTTCCTGGGAACTCTCTGTCGGCAGTGGCCACCCCTACATCCTCATAGGCTCCTTGCCCCACCCCTTCCCTCACCTCCCACATTTGCCAGGATATGTTCTGTCTTCTCTGAGACCTGCCCCCAGCTAGCCTACAGCTCAGGATGCACAATCCAGGAGACCGGGACAGTCCAATGACCCACTAGAGTCTTAGCCACAGTTCCTCAGTGGAAAACAGGGAGAGTGGATGCTGTCTGGGGGGAAGTTACAGACTGGGGGGATCCTACACAAGCTGCAGACATGGACACCTTGGGCAGTGTCAGCTAGGGCAGAGCGGGTAGCTTAGAGGGACCCAGGGCACACAGCTGGCTCTCGCCCTGTAGACCTGGCCTGCTCCCCATGGAGTGTAAACTTGGCCACATTTCACAGTGCTGCCCTCAATGCTGTCTCCCATCCTCAGCTGAGTTTGCACATCAGAAGCTGTGTCTACCTATGAGAGCTGGGCCAGAGCACCACTTACTTACGCTGGGGAGTGTGCAGTTAGTCACTCTGCCAGGCAGTGCCTGGGGGCCATAGACTGAGCTGCAGCACTCCGACCAGAAGTCCCTTTCCATCCAGGGACAGCGCCTCTCCACCTCCAGCTCCTGATCATGGGGCGCGTGCTGCAGTTCCTTCTTTAGGTGACAGGCCCCTCCCTGCACGTAGTGTCCTAGCGTGCAGGTCCTTCTTACAAATGCCTGAGAGGCCTGTGTGCCTGGGGGATTCAAGTGAGGCAAGCCCCACCCCTCAGTGCTCTGTCCATCAACTCTAACACCAGGGCCCAGATCTCTGCCCACGACTGGCTGTGCGTGGACCATCTGGCAGGCTTCTTTGCACACTGGGCTCTTATAAAAACGATGTGATAACACGGCGGGCCGTTGGCCCTGCCTGCACATGCTCCTGATGCATCTGGGAACTCTTTGCTCAGCCCTGGCTCACATCTGCTCCCTGGATGCCCATCCCAATGCACAAGCAGCCTGAGTGTGCCATCTCGGGGTTCAGAGGCACTGGATCCAAAGGTGCTTGGAGACAGTGGGCTCCATTCCCTCACTTTTGTTCTCCATCTCACAGAAGGCCACCATGGTCCGGGGATGAGCTGGGTCCCATCCCACAGCTCACAACCGTCAGACCTCAAGCACATGGCTGGAAGACCTTGAGATGTCATGCTGCCAGAGTAATGGAGGCATAGTCCTGGGGGTAGCAAGGTACTGTGGAAATGTCGGCTACGGGTATCTCCCTACAGGAGCATCACCTTGTGATAGGGCGTCATACAGGAAGTTACTTCTGAGCTAGCAGGGCCACCCGGCAGAGGAATGGGTGTTTGTGTGAGGGAGACAAAGACGTGAGGGGCTCAAGCCAGGCTGAGTGGACGCAAGGGTACGCCAGACGGTGGTGTGGCATATGCAAGGACCTTGTGGTGGGAACCAGCCCAACACACTAGCACAGAGGGCCGGATTGGGGCTGGGGTTGGAGGGCCAGAGCAGCACAGTATAACATGACAGGAGCAAGAGAGGTAGGCATGGCAGGGCAGGAGGGTGCAGCAGGGGCAGGAGAGCTCAGCTGCACCTTGGGTGCCCGGTTGCTGTCTCGTGGGACAAGGGACATGGTGCCTAACTGCTTCTGAAGAAACCATTCTAGAATTTAGCAACAAGTGGGGTAAGGAAGTGAAGTGAGGGGTGTGGGGCTGTACAGGTAGGCACAGAGGGGCAGTGGCCCCTCATTTGGGATGGCCAAGGGGTAATCAACTGTGGTTGAAGGGCAGGCTAGGGGAGAACCTGAAGATGTTCAAGGCTTTAAAGCGGAGAAATCAGATGGAGTCACATCTGACCTGGGGGGCCAGGGCCAGGGTGGCTAATGGTGTCTGTGACTGAGCTGCCAGGGCCCAAGTGGAAAGCAGGCGGGGAGGGGCAAGGAGGCTGACGCCCCAGTCCTCACAGAGGAACTGTATGCCACCCCAGGGCTGCAGTGCAACTTTCTTGTCCCACAGGGTGAAGGGCCATCAGGAATGGGTATGCAAGACTACAGAGGTGGAGGGGCAAAGGGCTGTGATACCACCTGGTTCTTCTCGTCCCCAGAAAGTCCCTCATGTGAGACAATTTCCAGGAAGGCACTCAAGACTGCTCACTGTCTTAGGACCCGCACAGACTCCAGTCAAACCTCCATGGCCCGAGGGGTCACCCCCTTACCTCACCATCAGCTCTGCCAATTGGAGAGCCCAGGACAAAGTCAGAAGGGGCTATCACATCCACCAGGGCCACCGCATCATCTTTCAGCTGTTGGGAAACAAAGTCCGTCCACTTGGCAACGCCCTCCAATCTCCAGGGCAACCGCGGAGTAACAGAGCCACTCAGCTGGTTGCTAACAGAGCCCTGGAAACCTGAGCAGGCGCACAGTGCTGGGAGGCCTCACGGGTCTGGGTTAGAGACTCCCTGGGTGTGTGTTTGCATATTTCTACCATGTCGCCATTCACTCGGGATGGCCGGCCAGCGTTTGCTATTGCAGCAAGGCTGGAAGCTGGCAGAGGTGATAGTGCAGGTGACTGTTAGCGTGTCCCCTGAGGCTCATCCCCAGTCTGGCAACTGCTGTTCTAAAGCAGGAGAGGAAGTCCAGAAGCCACAAGAGCAAGAAGTGATCCTGCGCTCCTGTGAAAGCTTGCAGCTGAGGCGGTGGCTCCCAGATCCCTGCTTCCTCACACAGACTAATATTAAACCCAAGAGCAATCTGCTGTGGAGACGCCCAAGGATTTTCTTGAAATGAAAACAATCTTCTTCTTCTTTTTTTTTTCTTCAAATAACTCCTGCCAAGCACACTGAAGTTTAAGTTAACATTTGGGTGGGGTGGTGGCAGAGTGCAAGCAGATAGCCTTGGGGGTAACGGTGAGGGCTGCCCAGTGTGGACCGAGAGGATCCCGACAAAGGCGACATGACTCACCTGCATACACAGTGCCAAGATGGCATCCTCCATGGCTCTTCCTGCTGGTTCACCAGAAATGTAGCCACCTGCAAACACAATCTTGTCACATACCCCTCAGGCCTGTGGCTACAAACCATAAGAAGTAGCTTTCCCACTCAGCTTTATTGGGCTGAGGTGTTGGTATCTCAGCAATGGCTGGCCTACTGTGTCACAGAAGAAATGTGCTGGCTCCGGGCCAGTTATGAGGTTCCTTGTCCCTGGGCATGTGTCAGTTCTGGCTAAGAAGCTGTGAGGGAGAGCAGGCCCCGAGGCTTGGGGCTGGGTGCAGTCCTACCATAGGAGGGACACAGAGTACACAAGTAGGCAGGTGTCAGCATCAGACTGCACAGGTGCCCAGATGCACTGCAGGTGGATGTGAGGAGCTGGCAGCCAAGAGGGGTTACGGGGTTGTGGTGTGGGGGGGCACATAGGCCTCTGAAGCCACCACCAGACAGAGTAGGAGACCCGGTCCACGGGTGTCACTTCAAGCCCACAGAAGCCTTCCTGTAGAACCTCAACAGTGATCTGTGTAGCTGGGAATGTACTGGAAGCAGGAAGGACTCTGTGATGACTAAAGAGAAAGGCACCTGGTCACTATTCTCAGCTGAGGTCTAAGTTGCAGCCTCACCTTGGTAGAGCAGGGCCATATGCTGGCTCAGGGACCACAGGCCGTAGAGTGTGCTGAGCCGCCTAAGCACAGCCTGCAGAGATGGAGGCACGCTGGGGCTGTGTGTGTGTACATGGAATCGTTGTGCCACAGTGAGCTCCAAGAAGACCAGAGCCAGGGGCCGGCAGTAATACACCTGCAAATACAACAAAGGCCTAGTGTGTGCTGGAGGTAGCCAGTCACCACGGCTGCACAACTCCTCTCATATGAGGAGGGACTACAGGGGACTGTAGACTGCATCCGTGTTCAAACATTCATTCTAGGTCAGTACTGTGAGGCTAAGCAGCACTGGGACACACACGCACACACACAAACGCATGCACACACGCACACATACACGCACACATACACACACGTGCACACACATGTGCATGCACACACACGTATGCACACATGTGTGCGTGCACACACACATAAACACGCGCGCACACATGTACACATGCGCGCGCACACACACAAACGCGTGTGCGGATCTCAGAGTGAAGCTAAGCCCTGTGAAGGGAACACTATAACATTTACACACTCCAAGACAGCCCACTGTCACTTGGCCCCACGCCCAACTCTCAAGAGAACCGAGGCCAAACAGGCTGTCACTACAGCACTGTGACACCAACAATAGGTCCAGGGCACAGGACCTGTCCTCCTGTGTCTAGGGTGGTAGAGGAACACAGGTTCTACTGGACAGGGCTAATGCTGCACTGTTCTCCAGGGCTTCTGAAATGCATGCACACACTCACACACACTCACTCACACACACCCACTACCCTGTTTCTATACTGCGTGTGAGACTAGCCCTGTGGGATCCCCTCTCCGGCCACAGACTGACTGCCTCCTTAGGTAGGCTAGCTAATAAAGACCCCTTGGGTGACCTTCTCTGGTAACCGTACCGGTGCATGATGGCTGCCGGCACATCTTTCCCTGCTCCTAATGCTCTGCCTCACCAGAACTTTAAAATCCACAGAGGATTTAAATCCAAACTGTGCAGCCAAGCACGGGCTGCTTCTGGAGTGGGGGTGGGGGATACCAAGCCAGGTGGCCAGGGAGTAGGGGGTACTGTGGTCTTTCCCGGCTGAAGATGGTGGCTGAGAATGACTGGACGGAGGGGTGAGAAGGGCTGAGGGGTGGGCCATGGAGGCGTTGCGTCACTGACAGCCCTTACGGTGGGTCCAAGTTCTTACAGCCCACACTCCTCCTCTCTAGCTGTTGCTGTTCATCTCTCCCACAGGCAGCAAGGCTGGGTATTAATACTTTACAGGGTGGAAGGGTAGGGCCTGCAGCTGCCAGGATGTCGACTTCTCATAATACACACCAGGGCAAGCAGAGCGGATGCAAACTGTAAAACAAACCTACCTGGCTGTTGTTTCTTGCTTCGAAGTCACTGCCGCTGGACTTTTTCTCTTGACAGCGTTTCTGATGACTCCTTTGGAGCAGGTAGCAGACAAGCCAGCGGTATGCCGCCAGGAGAGCTTTGTGGGGGACACAGGAAGCAACTGAGGGCACCTGCTACCATGCCAGGCAGCCTGGGCATACATGCAGCCATGCATACCCGGGTGGTCCTCATGAGGACAGTAGAGGATGGGCAGTTTTGCAGACAGAGGAACCCGGTCACTGAGGGTAGCTGCCCCCAGGTGGAGTTGACAGGTTGGTTGTGACTGACAGCAGTCCCACACTGTCATTGCAGCTTTGAGGCTGCAGATCACAGGGCCACTCAGTCAGCTAAGACGCAGTGACTGCTCCTTCAGAGGCACTGAGGTGCCCAGTTGCTACGGATGGCCAGGAGCTGAGAGGGTGGGCACCTCTATGCCCATCCTTAACCTCACTGGCCATCTAGGAGGCTATAGGTTGGCACTTGTCCTGCCAAGGCCTCAGACTGGCATGCTGCTCTCTACAAACTCCCACTGGCAAAGCCAGTTACAGAGGAAAGGGCCAGGGTTGGTTGCTGGGACCTGGCCAGGAAAATGGCAGAGAGGCAGAAAGGGGCCTGACTTCCCACACTACTCAGGACACAGGGCACGGGTGAGTGAAGACACACAGCCTCGAATGGGAAATAGGTTCTGACCGGCTTCATGGTGGAGTCCATGCTCTCCACACCCCACATCCTGCGTAAAAAGGCTCAGCGCCTGATCCAAAGGACCTGCGGGTTTCAGGGACCAAGGAGCAAGAGGACTTCTGCTAGGTAGCTGGTCATGGCTCAGAGCCACTGGCGAGGGAATAGGGTTCTGGCCACGTCAGGTTGGACCTATTTCCTCTGGTGTCGAGGAGCCTGTTCTCAGGAAAATGATGCCATAGAGTATCTGGCTGTGAGAGCCTCACAGCTCAACTGAAAAGCCCATTAAAAAGGCAAATCCTCACCTCCAAGAACAATGTACAGAGACAAAGGATATCCTGTGACAACAGAGGCAGAGAGAGGGTGGAGTGTCACAGCCACAAACCAAGAGTGTCTGGAGCCCTCAGGATCAGAGAGAGGCAAGGAAGGACAACTTGATTTTGGAAGTCTACTTTTACACTGTGAGACTGTGTGTGGATGTCTGCTCCTCTCAGTACCCTGTTATGCCCAGGACAGGATCCAGGGCTGCCTGGCGGTCATTTTTGATCCTTAAATATCATCCTTAGCATGCCAAAATTTGCATCCACTTCTGGAGGCCACAGCCAAGGCTGGGGCGATGCCCACCCATTCTTACTTCACGTGGCTCACTGTTCCCCAGCGCCTCCCAAAGGATCAAGTCACGGGCAGCAGGAAGGTGGGCACCGCAAAGACCTTTCCGAGATTTATGGACAGCAACAAAACCAAGGAAATACTGCAAGGCAGAAACGCACCTGCCCCTGTCAATGGCCACCCCAGTGTAAGTGCTACCATCCTTCCCTGGGGCCAGGCTCATTCCTGGGGCAATGACAGGAAAAGCAGGGCAATGGAGGAGAGAATGCCAGTACCTGCTGAGTCCAGCCAGTCAGCTTTGCTGGAGCCCATAAACTTCTGGCCCAAGATTCCAGGATAGGCTTCCAGAAAGTCCACTGTCTTGAGAGGGCTTGTGAAGGCAGCTCCATCTAGGACACACACTTCCGTGTCTCAGGAGAAAGACAAGGAGTCCCTACTCACAGAGCCTAGCCTGCTAGCTCATCATCTCTGGCTAGGCTCCTCTACTCTGCCTGCACCTAGGAACTCCTCTGTTGCCAGCTAAAGATCATCCATCTTTCTTTAGCTTTTTATTTTTGAGATAGTGTCCGTCCGTCCTTCCTTCCTTCCATCCCTCCCTCCCTCTCTCTCTCCAACCCCTCTTCTTTCTCCCTCCCTCCCTCTCTCCCTCCATCCCTCCCTCTCTCCCTCTCTCCCCTCCCTCCCTTCCTTTCTTTTTGTTGTTATTTTGGTTTTTTGGAGACAAGGTTTCTCTGTGTAGCCTTGGGTATCCTGGAACTTGTTCTGTAGTTCTATAGACCAGGCTGGCTTTGAACTCAGAGATCCACCTGCCTCTGCCTCCTGAGTGCTGGGATTAAATGCATGTGCCACCACCACCCGGTGAGACAGTGGTTTGCCTCTAACTTGAGATGCTCCCTCCTTGGCCCCCTGAGAACTCAGATTATGGGACTGTGCCACCATGCCTGGCTTGAGGACATACATTGATACAAGCATGGGATCCCCAGAGCCTGAGAGATTCCTGTGCCCTGCTGAGCGCGGCCTCCCACAGAGGTACCTACCTTGGAGCCGGTGCTCCAGGAGGCTGAGCAGGTGGCTGCTGGTCTGCTGTAGCAGGACGTTGTTGTCACCCTCATAGGTGCAGTTTGGATCACTGTCATTTCTGAGGTCACCAAGCCGATTTACTGCAAAAAAAAAAAAAAAAAATGCCACAGCATTACTCAAGGTGCCCTGAGAAGTGCCCCTCCCACAGACCCACCCATCCAGAGGCAGGAAGTGCTTGCCTCCCTGCCCCTTGGCCCACATCTGCTGGCTGTGTCCCAGCCGTTCCCCATCCTTAGGGACGAAAAAGTCGCCCCCCAGGATGGCATAAGAACAGTCAGCACAGGGTTGGTGGCAGTGAGGACCCAGAACTGTCACCTTCCTGCCTGTTGGTATTACCTGAAGAATCGCCTAGCAGAGCTTCCCCAGAGTGTGGGGACCACTCCAGAGGCAGGACACGGGCTACTCTGAAGCCTTAAAAAGCCTATTTCTAACCAGAGATTCTAACCATCTCCTGCGATGTGAACATCTGGGGCCCGCGTGCACTTCATGAGATGCCCTTTGCCCAGGGCCTGCCTGAGGCAAGCCATCCAGAACCAGCCTCTCAGCCCTTTCTCCAACATCCCCGTTGAGGCAGATGGAGAAGCCAGCCCAGCCTCCATGCTATAGCTAACCCACTGGGTAAAGGCCTGGGGTAGGCCTCCTGTGGGATCAGACAGCTGACATGTAACCTTGATATGGCTCTTTACATTTGACTTTGGCCCCTGCATCCTGACTGGTGAGTAATGAGCTGTGAGTCAGTCATGGTCGTGTCTGTAGTACTTCGACATGCAACTTCCTTATTCTATTTAAAACCAGACCAAAGATAAACTCTATGTGTTTGGGGGAGTTATAACAACAAATAAAAGCCCTACCAAGAACACTGCAGAAAGAACAAAAACAGGCAAAGGAATAACTCAGACATGGCCACCGCAAGCTAGTGCTAGTAAGAGACAGTGTGTGGGGAGTGGAGGCCACACCACAGCATGCCGAGTGGCAGGAGCATCAAATCCAGGCTGCTGCGGGAGCATCCACGGCGTCACAGCAGCCTTGATCATCTCTCTGGCCACTGAAGGGCTGGCAGTTCTGTGCTGTCCGCAGCAGCAGTGGCTGGCTTTGAGCAGCCAGCTATTGTTAGTCGCTTCTGATTCGTGGAGGTCAAAGTAAGCATTCTAAATTAATGGGAGGGAAGAATTACCTATCTACTTCTCTACTATGGTATAGTTACTACTGTATACTAACTATAGTGCTATAGGCCAGGTCCTCTAGTAAGTTATATGCACTGACTCCTTGGAAGAACCAACATGCTGTGTGCATAATTCCACCATCTTCTACTAGGAAAGCTGAGGCATAGTGAGGGTAACCTGTCCAGTTACCATGGAGACCACGGCAACCTGGGCCAGCTGGTTGTTCACCGCAGTCATGTACTAGCTGCTTGTGTGATTGGATGCTCGGCATCAGTAAGGCTTGTCTTGTCCAGGTTTCAGAACTACCAAGTCATTGGCCAAACGTCACACTGAAGTAACCTGCTAATTCCGCTCAGCTGCGTGCTGGGATCACACATACTTCACATTTCCTCAGTATCCCGACTTTTGACCAGGAAGCATGAAGCATCAGAAAGTGGCATCTGGGTGGGACAGGGGTTGGTGAACTTTCCCTGTGGTAGGCCAGAGGGTAAATATTTCAGGACTGTCGTGAGGACTCAGTACTGCCACGTCAGTGTGGAAACAGCCAGAGAAAATGTGTGCCTGAGTGGGTATGGCTGTATCCCAGTAAAATCTGCGCTCTGTGGAACCCTGACCTCGCAACCAATAGGAGGACTGAGGATGGAAAACTGCCCCCAAACTATCCCAAACTTACTGGCCAGATAGCCGTGTCCCCCACATGCTTCGCGGCACTCCTGGATCCCCCGTTGAGCTGTCCACGAGGCTAGGGGCTTGCCAGCCGATGCCAGTGCATGGATCTCACGTCCAAGCTCTGCCTGTGGGAGAGAGCCCAGTGAGAAGAGGTGAAGACAGACTCTGGCCATGCATGTCAGGCCCCAGCTTCAGCACTGGTGAAAAGGAAACCTGGCTATAATGAAAAGGGGTTAGGAAGCTCTTGAGGACAGAGATGAGATGGATGGTACTCCACGGCATAGGTTCATAGCATGAAAATAAATGCATCGCAACTCTATATGGAAAATACATCTCAAGGGCAGCATATCCTTTACAGACTGCTGGAGAATGCCTATTAGACGTGGCTCCTGCTAAGTTCGTGGATGTGTAGGGAACATGACCATCTGCAGAGAAGGCCACAAGATTAGCACAACGCTGGAGCCAGCGCAGCCTTCCGTTAGAGGGAGGTCTAGGACCATAGCCATGCAGATGTTTGGTTATGGCTTGGCAGAATGGGCACTCCAAGGCATTCTTCCTGAAGCTCATATCTGTTTCGTACACATCTCCCTTTCTGATTCATTAAATGCAATGCTTGCTACACAAAGTGATCCCTTTAACCAACAGTGTCCATCTCAACTAAGGAGAGTTTCAGTTACCACTGTGCCTGGCTTGGTTCAACCACAGGGTTTCAGATAGAAAAAACCTGGAGATCAGTGTCAGCAGGCAGGTTACAGACTCACTAGGTTTGGAAAGCATGTTTGGCACCTTTGTGTCAGCAGCACCCATGAGTAGTGGCCTGTTCCTACCCAGGGAACCATGCCAGCATGTGCAATACTCAAACCTCAGTCCAGATCGGTGTCAGTGCAGCTCATCTGACAGGCTCTTTAGGACAGAGTATGTACCGCGGTCTGCAGGACCTCTAATAATCAGCCTCTAGACCCATGTCTTTTGATTGACATCTGATTTCCACTGAGGGGGCAACACGAGGAGGGCCAAGCATCAACGCCATAGGCTACCAACAGAGCAGCCAGCAATGGACTCTGCTGTGCAGAACAGCAGAACAGCCCAGTGGGGCTACATGCTCACTTCTGACCCAAATCCTGGGCTGTCATCTCAGAGAGAGTGGATTCAGACCTCTGTGCAGTGGTTCACGAAAAGACAAGAGCTGAGACATCCTCTGAGTGTGGCAACGCGAGTGTGAAAACCACTGTGCTCTAAAGGAGCTGTGAGCTCTGCTCCGCCAGCACATCCCTAAGAAACGGGGTGATGCACGTAGTCCAAACTGCAAGTCCCTGGTGGGGCAGCTGAAGGAATTCACACAGGCTCTGTTCCCACAGCCAGCTGCTTCCGTTTGGCCACAGTGCTGAAACGGGGCTGCTCAACCTCGGCAACGGTAAAGCAGGCAGATGCCTCACCTGCCTGGCACTGTGGTCTCCCTTGATCAGGCCACTCTGTAGCTCTATCAGGTCCAAGAAGATTGTCTTAGAGAAGTGGTCCAAGGCATAGGCAGCTGCCAGGTATGGAAGTAGGCGCCATTGCTGAGGGAAACAAGACACATGACAGGTACTCAGGGGGCTGGCCCAGTCAGCCAGTCTACCACTGACCCTGGGCCTGGGGCCAGCTTTCTTGGGAATGAAGGAAGCCCACTGCTGGTGCCAATTCAGCTCAAGACAGGCACCAATTTTTTATGCTTATTTTATGCGTGTGCATGTTTTGCCCGCAAGCACTACATATATGCACTTCATGTGCATCTGGTACCCAGGGTCAGAAGAAGGTATCAGATTCCCCAGGAGCTGGAGCTACAGATGGTTGTGAGCCACCATGTGGGTGCTGAGAATCAAACCCAGGTCCTTTGGAAGAGCAGCCAGGGCTTTACACCACCAAGCTTTCTCTTCGGCCCCGGCATCATCCTTCGTGAACCCATGAAAGGCCATCAATCACCCTGGGGCCAGGGGGACTCACATACCAGCACTTGACACACACAGCATACACCCACTGCTGGATGGACAAATGGATGAGGAGATGAATGGATTGGAGGGGATGGGTGGGGCCTGACAGGGGCCCAATGGATGTTCCAAGTGTGCAAAGTGTCGGACACTATGTCAGTTGTTTCCACTGCCAACCCATAAGCCTTTTGTGACCCCGTGAAGTGGCAGCATCAAGGAGGACCTGGGTTAGAGCTCTTTCACCACTGGGCTTGTAGAATAGTCAATATGCCACTGGCCTTCCCTGGACACCAGAACAGTCAATATGCCGTTGCCATGGGAACAAGGATGTGGGCCACCCAGGCATGGTGGGGCATTTTTTTTTAAATATTCACTTCTTAAACAGCTCGTTGCCAACATAAGAGGAAAATGAAGAGAAAGGTCAATCCTGTCTCATTTCCTTATGACTGTCACTCAAATACCTACTTAATGTAGCACTCGGCACAAGACCTAAGCCAGATTTAGCAGCCCGCTCACCTACCTGACCCTTATCCCCATAGAGTGGTGTCGTGACTGCCCCTCTGGCTACGAAAGAGGTGGCTGCGATGTGCCCCTTTCCACCCATGGCCTCTGTGCTTTGCTCCATCGCTGCCTCTGATGATGCAAGGCTGGGTACCATCTCTATTGCTTTAAATGCCAGAGCACTTATTTAAAGGGCTGTGCTCAGCTGCTGCTTCCAGAATGACTTCCTCGGGGCCATTTCTTACAGATGGGGCAGGTGAGTCAAAAAGACTGTAGCTTGACCCAAAGCAGGGTGATCTCATCTGCACACTCAGCAGGCTCGCCCCTGCCTCCTGGTGCCTGGCTCTCCTCCGCCATGTGCCTCCTTTTGAACACACATTTGCCTTTTTAATTAAAAGCCACCCCAAGGCCCTGGTGCCTGGCAGGTGTGACTTGGCCCATTGTCCTACTCTCAGGGCATTCCCTGAAAAGTCTCAGCAACTCCCTCCCAGGAGCCAAGAAGAGCGGTACCTGCAGCGGATATTCAAGGACAGGAATTTCTTCCTCGTCTGTGGGTCCAAACTGACACCGCGTGGCTGAGAATCGGAGCGCTATGGACACTGCCAGCTTCAGGCTGACCACAGAGAAGCCGATGATGGAGATGCGTCCTGCGGACAGGCTGCCCAAGGATGCTCCCAAACGCTGCCGGACATCCTGGGGAAGAAAAGCAGGGTCACATGTCAGGCCAGCTGTTACGCAGCCTCAGAGAATGCCCCAAAGACAAAGGTGTGCCCTGGATGTATTGTGAGGAGAGGGCTCCCAGCTGCCCAAGGAGGGAGTTCTGAGTAGAGAAGCTCCTTCTCTTTGGTGGCCTGTGAACTGTCCACCCGAGGGCACTGCCTTTTCCTGGGTGGGCACCAGAATGAAGGGTGGTCCAGCACGGGGCTCACATCCACCTGGCCCCCTGCTGGCACGTGGCTCCTTGGACCCCAGCTGCCAAGCTCCCGTGTGCTCAGTGTTCCGGTCTTACTGTCAATGCCACTGTTCTTTACTATGTTTGGCACAAGCTGTGCTCAGGCCCCTCAGTGGCATTGTGGACAGCCTGGTGTCCTCGCTCCCTGTGCCCTACTGCTGCCCTGGGTTATGTGTTTGTTTGGGTCCTTCTTCCAAATTACTGTAGTATATATATGACAGTCTCCCAGACAGAGAACGTTTGTCACACTCTCAGGTAGAGAACACAGTTCTGTTGATGTTAAAAAAAAATGTGTATATTTCACGGGCGATGGTGTCATGTGCCTAGCGCTTGGCAGGCAGAGGCAGACAGGTAACGGTGGTGGTTATTCACTGGTCTCTGGCAGCATGATTTCTGAACCTTCTCTGTAATGGTCCTATTTCCCCGTGTGTCAGTCAATAGCTTTTCCTTGGTTTTCCTCTTTAGAACAACACAGATCGGCAGTGTTTCTTTCTCTAGCTGGGAACACTGGTCTGTCACTTCTCTGAACCCTGCCTGCTGTGCTAAGCAGGACACTCACCTAGCCAGGGCCTTCCGCTGCGTTCTTTCTCCCAAGTCTTTCACATCGCGGTAAACTTTACTCGGTTGTTTTCATATTATTCTGTGTCTTATGTGGCTTCTTGGCTCCCAGGACTAATTTCTCCCAGGTAACTTTGCTGCATTCATCCTTGCTTTCCCACCAGGCAAAAGGTGGAGGCTGTCTGAGGAGTGTCCTCCCTGGGAGTGTCCTTCTGGGACATCCCCTCCTGGAGCTCTGCTCTCAGAGTCAGCCACCTGCCAGTGTACTCACCACTCCCCAGAGCTGTGGGCCGCCCCGCCCGCGGTTCATCTCCACCCATAGTCTGAGCACTCTCAGTTAGCACCACAGCTGGTTACTCCATCTGTACACAGCTTTTCAAGAGACCCTCCTGGGGTGCTATTAGTGAAAACGGCTCCCATAGGCCCATATGTTTGAATGCTGTCAGTGGAACTGTTTGGGAAGGATGGCCTTGTTAGAAGAGGTATGTCACTGAAGGGGCAGGCTTTGGGTTTTCAAACACACCATTCCCGGTATGTCTGTCTCTGCCTTGTGAATCAGGATGTAAGCTCTCAGGAGTCCCTGCTGCCATGCCTCTGCTCTGCCTCCACAGACTTGATCGAACCTTTTGAGACTACATGTTCCAAATTAAGCCCTCATTTAAAAGCTGCCTTGGGCACAGTGTCTTATCACAGCAATAGTAACCGAGACAGCGAGATGCTCTGGGAGAGCAGCCCCTTATCCAAGGAGACATAGATACCTAACCAGAAAATGCTGCCAGATCTAGGCCACCCCTGCCCACAAAAACTGTGGCTAACTTCCTTCTCTGCTGATAGCACCAAACCCAACCGAGGCTGGAGTGTAGTACCTAGGGCCAGCTGCTCCTGGGGTAATCTCCAACACAGGAACAGACACCTGCGAAGTTCTGTCCACAGATACCCACAGTCCTTAGAGGTACCTTAAAAGGAGTGATGTAAGTGCCCTCAGAAGTGACATTCCCAGTCCGGTCCAGGAGGTTCTGGCGAGGAATTCGAACTTTGTGAAACATGGCGAATCTGTGCAGGAGAAAAGGTGGGCATCATGCAAGTCCTACAAGAGCCCGCCACATGGTTCCTGGACTTTCTTCCTCTCCCCAAGAGCAGCTGAAGGTAACATCATCTCCAAAGAAAAGAGGCATGTGTGATGGGGCCATGTGTGGACCATCATGGTCCAGCTCTTTATTCCCCAGGATGGAAGTGCTCCCATGTTACTAGCAAAGAGAAGCTCCACACCCGAAGAGCCTGCAGTCCAGTCTACTGCTTGCGAACAATGATCTGCTTCCCCCAAGCAGCTGGGAAAAGAGTCCAACAGGTGTTGCTAGGGATACTGGGCCCTGAAAATCCAAGGCATTTTGCAATGGTTTAAAGAAAAAGCTTGTACAAAGTTACAAATCTACATCAACTGAAAAATAAAACACACTCAGAAATCTCAGTGGTTCCTATGGTGGTGTGTCTGGTGGCTAAGATGCTATGCATACGCAGAGGACCTCATCAGTCACCAGCTACCATCTGTGATGATGGTAGGGCAGCCTGCTGCTCCTCACCCACATCTGACCTCTTCCAGTCCCTGGTTGGAGGCAGCCTCACTCCAGCTGAGTTGCCCTCATTAAACAGCAGGCAAAAGCAAAGTATTTCAAAAAGCACACATCCTATTCAAGACTACCATGCTGCAATTCTCCCACCTTGCCAAGCTCTCTGCTGACCTGCCTCTTCCCCGAGAACCCTGGGTCTCCCTCCGAGTGAAGCAAGCTGCCATCTCCTCCAGGAAGTCCACAAGATTGCCACCCTTTCTGCAAGGATCACAAGGCACACCCCTCTCCAGGACACCAGTGGGTGTCCTGTTCAGTGCTATCACTTGGTTGTCCCCATTGCCCGGTGAGCTACTTTCCCATCAGCAGATTCTTGGAGCTGCCCTGTTTTTCTTGCAAGTCTACAGTACCTGGTGAGAAGGAACAGAGGTGTTGGGACAGGAGGGACTCCTCCAAGGTGAAGGAGTCATCTACCCGAAACCACGTCCCGGGAAGACACAGCAGCCCTACCCAGTGCCCACATGACTACGCTAAGAAGAAGCCTGGGGTGGCAGACTTTAACACAGTACACCCAGCTAACACAGCACACTGTGTCTGGCAGCCACCTGGCCTACATCCAGCCTGCAGGCCACACACAATGCCCCATTTTTAAGGAAACACAGCCTCAGTGCCAAGCTGAGGTGCTCCAGCTGTTTACTTGAAGGCCAAGGAATGCTTTTCAAGTACAATGTTGTTAATGGGAAGCACTTTTTAAGGAGTGGAAAATCTTCACCCTTTTTGCCACAGAGGTAGAGTGAGTCTGAACACACTAGTTCTTGTCAAGTTTCCACTCCAGTTTAAGAGAGCAAATTTCACGAATGCTCTTTAAACAGTCAGATGGGTCATGGTGTGTGTGTGTGTGTGTGTGTGTGTGTGTGTGAGAGAGAGAGAGAGAGAGAGAGAGAGAGAGAGAGAGACTCGGGGTATGAGGAGGTTCAAGTAGGTGTGTGTATGGGGTACATAAATGCAGGGCTGAGGAGGCTTAGGTGTGTGTGTGTGTGTGTGTGTGTGTGTGTGTGTGTGTGTGTAAGTAAATAACAGGACGGTGACATGGGGTATCTGTATGTCATAAGACGTGGTATGGGGGAAGATGGAGGAGGGGGGCTAGGGATATGTGGACGACACAGGGCAGTGACGCAGTGAATGTGTGTAACATGGGACACATGGTATGAGTGTGGCAGGCATGTTGGAAGGGTGTAGAGTGTGCGTATCACATACTTCCACCCTGGGTGTCCTGCTGCAAATTCCAGCAACTTCCCTCTCTGGAGGCCCCCTCCAGAGCCACCAGTGCAGCCCCACCTGGGGCACACCCTCATCCCGAGGCCCTTCTCAGCCTCTTCAGGGAGGACTTCTCAGCCCCAAAGGCCTGGCCTCGTCATGAAAAGTACAGTGGGCACCTTGCAGGTTTGGCTCAGTGTCTCTGGAAAGATCCTTGTCTTTAGAATGTTTGACTGAACGTGCTTCACGCAGCTGACTCTGCTCTCGATTCCCAGATACTCCTGACAGTCTGGGGGAAATCTCATGGAAGGACAAAAGGTAACTTAGAGATGGACCCCTGTTTAAAAGCAGCATTAACTTATAGTGCTGCTCTTTGAGTTGAGGCCTAACACCAGCGAGCATCCACTCTGTTCTGGAGCTCTAGCGTCCTCTGCTGGTGGCCTGTGGTCACTGCAGGCAGGAAGCTTGGTTTATTAGTTTCTTCCAAGGACCCTGTCTGTGGCCAAGCACGACAGAGAGGGCATGACAGGCCACTGGACTGGCCTTCGCTTTGCTGGAACAGCTGCTCAGGTGACTCTCAGCCAAGCCTTTGTCACAACTATATTCTGAGGCTCCCGTAAACATCTCATTTGGTGCCTGTGAGATGTATCTTAGGAGACTACCCATTCTCTAAAAACGGGGGCTGCTGTGAAGGGGCCAAGTACAAGCTCTCTGTTATGTTCCAAAGTTACTCTAACTGCTCTAGTCTGTAGACCGGGAAGAGCAGCAGACAGAGGCACTGGCTACATGTTACAATCACCACCAGCACAAGCCAAGGTTAGTCGGGCTGCACACAGAGCCCTCAACAGAGGGAGTGACAGCTCTGTGACTGCTGAGCCCTGATCTTTCTCCTTAAGCTTGGTGCTTCTGGCCCCCCCCCCCCAATACTGTCTGCAGTCTCAGGAGGCCGAGGCCTTCCCTGGCCCTGCCCCAGCCTTCTGGTGACAGGTAGACAGGGGAGCATCCATGAGAGCCCTGGGAAGCACCTGGCCCAGGTCAGGATTCTCTTTGGAGGTGGCTAGTCTCAGTAGCCAGCCATAGCAGCTGCTTGGGGTGACTCTGGGAGCCCAAATACACAGAGGTAGGCAAACAGCGCAGGACACAATACTTGGGGGTACCCTAGTCTTCCAGAGTCATGGGTTACCTTGTGGGCAGAGAGGGGTCTAAGTGCATTGGGCCAGGAATCCTGGAGCTGGGTGGAGCCTGTATATACTGACCAGGGGAAGGCAACCTAGACTGCTCAGCAGGTCCCTTGAGGGCTAGGCAAAGAAGCTGGACTAGGAATGGTAGGGATGAATGAGCCCTACCCTGATGGATGCCACTCAGCTGCTGCCAACTTGGGTCTCAAAGACAGACGCTCAGAGTCATAGAGAACCCTCAGGAGCTGGCTTCACCACCTGGCACACTATAAACCTCAAGCCATCCAGCTGCCCTACTGACCACAGGCACTTGGTCAGTAGTTAGGGAAGGTCCTTCCAGGCTCAGTCCAGACCCTGGCATTCACTCCCATCTGAGTGCTCTATTTCCGAGCAGCCCTAGGATGGGAGTCAAAAGCACCTCGCTAACCATCATATGCCCAGCACTTGGCCAGTTACTGCCTCAGAGACTTGAAGTAAATATTCATGGCAGACTCCACAGTGCACAGTTAAGGCAAACCACCAAGACACCTCACAGAGGAAGGAAGGTCCTATGTAGTTGGTCACCCCCTCCCCAGCCCTGAGAGCTTGCGAGCTTGGAGAGTCACACTCTGAGAAGCTGACCCACAGGGTGCTAGGACAAGGCAGACCTCTGGGAATTAACTAAGACTATGAGCAGCCACGGCTGCTACTCAGAGAAGTGCAGGTTGGTGCCTACCGTAGGCCCTGAGAAGCCTACACTCCTGAGTGAGTGTGGTGCTGGCAGCCATCTCCAGCCTGTGGCTTAGAACGATCCTGGAGCCCTGGGGAGGCAGTGCGTGTCTGATGAGGCCAGCGGCACTCACCCGTTATCCAGGCCATTCTGCCCCAGTTTCTTCCCCATGTCACCGACCATCACCCCTGGCATGGGGAGCAGGGTCTTCGGATCCCGAATCTGTACAAAGCCATGAGGAATAATGGCCAGTTAGTCTTTTAGAAGACAAGGCTGCATGTCCAGACAAGCTGACCACTGACAGGGGTGACTGAAGAGCTCTGGATGGTGCTGGGTCCCTTGGAGTGATATGTCCAGGTCCGGGGATGGGCCTCTGCAGCTGCAATAAGGCAGAGACCTCGACACCTGGATTCCTAGATGGGACCTAAATCTGTGGTAAGTGTTCTTACAAAGGGAACAGATCCATAGGAAGGCAGTGTGGCGACGAGTCAGAAGTTGGTGCGACTGTGAAGAAAGCCAGAAGCTGGGGAAGGGAAGAGAGCTTCCTGAGCCATCAAGGAGTCCAGGGATTCCTGAATCCAGCTCTAGAGCCCAGTGGCTCTCCTGGCTTAGTCCTGGCTGTGATGTGTGTCACTACACCAGCCACAGGGTGGGCTGGGGACCCATAGTGTTTAGCGGATGTAGAGGGATCCTGTTCGTGCCTCAGACAGAAGACCTGCAGTGGGATTCCAGTATAATGACAAAATGTCTATGAACATATGTGCTGTGGAGAGGAAACCAGGACAGGCTATGACAATCCCATCTCCCCAGCGGTGTCCACTAAACATTCCTTTCAGGAAAGCAGACACGACTCGCTATAGACTCCTGACCTAGGGGCTCCGTGAAAAAGACAGATTTCATTACACACGAAGCAGGATTGCCAACCATAAAGCAGAGGCCCCCAGCACCTCCCTTCCCCGCAGAGGGATGGGGGCAATGTCTAGAGATGATGTTGTTCTAGATGACAGACATTGGCGGCCCCCAGAAAACACAGCTCTGGGAAGGGGACGTCCTGCTCTAAAGACATTTTGGAGGTGGAGAACATAGTCCAGGGCAGGGTATGGGCTTAGCATGTGGGAGACCTTGGGTCCAAACTCCAGAGCCAGGGGAAGAAAATAGGGGGAGAGGGAGGGAGGGTTGGTTGATTCTAGGCATTTAGAACTTAGCTATTTGTACAAGTCACTAGCTTTTTATTTTGTGGATCTGATTTTATTTAATAAGGAAGTGTTCTGGCCCTCAGAGGTAAATGGTCTGCGCTTCAGCCCATGGTGCTGTGGGGACGTGGGGCATGGCGAAAGGAAATCAGGCCATTGGGAGTGTGTCCTTTAAGAGGCTACTGAGACTCTTGGCCACTTCCTGTCTCTTCTCATTTTGTCCCCAGACACAGCTTACTCAGCCACATACTCCTGCCAGGATAGCTGGGCTCCCACAGGCCCATAGTAGCACCAGTGTGCCAGGAGACCATGGGCTGGTACTTCAAAGACTGGGCCAGGGTCATCCTTCCCTCCTCTGAAGTTATTGTGCTAGGGAATTTTGTTATAGCAGCAGAAAGCTAACATAGGAGGAGCAACTAGACACGCAAAAATAGTTGGCGGTTACCAAATAATCAAAAATGCCATGAGTGGGGGCTGGAGGGATGGCTCGCTCAACAGTTCTTGTAGAGCACAGGTTTGGCTCCCAGCACCCACATCAGGCAGCTCACAACCAACTGTAATTCCAGTTCCAGGGCATCTGATGCCCTCTTCCACAGGGACTGCATGGACAGCACCCCCCCCACACACACACACATTAAAAAAAAAAAAAATAAGCCTTTAAAAAATACATGACTACTGCCAGTTTCCAGTTTCTTCTGCAAAGAATTCCAAAGTGAAAATCAAAAATAGCTCAGGCCATGCTTAACTCACAAATATTAATTGTGCAAATTCACCTTCCATTTCCCATAATATGTACAAGACTGTCAACCCTGCAGGGAAGCATGGGCTGTGCCCGCTATACAGGCGCTCTGCTGGAGGGGATGGTGTGCTGTCTGTCACTAAGGTACCCCAGTACAGGCGCTCTGCTGGAGGGGAGGCTGAGGTATCGCTGAGCTTCTCTTACAGGAGTTGTTGGTTTTGACTTTTGAGACAGAATCTACTACAGAGGCCAAGATTTTCCTCAAAAGCCACAATCCTGCCTCAGCCTCCTGAGTGCGGGGCTTACAGATGTGTGCTATGGCGACAGGCCCTCTGGGTACTTTTAGCATCATTCACAGAGACTCCAGCAGCACTGCAGCCCTGTGGTCTGAGTGTGAGGCATGCTGCAGGAAGCCGAGTGCCAGCACAGTGTCTTCCCCAGCGGTGAACATCTGTGCTTGACAACACCGTGCCTGTGGCTGCAGGGGACTGTCTACCTGGGGGCCAGTCCCACCCACGTCTTACCTGCACCAGGAAGGAGTGCAGCCCACGGCACTCGCCATCGGGCATGTGGAGCTGAGCAAACACCACCGCGTGCGTTGCTGTCTTGCCCATGTTGCCCACCCAAAATTTGGCAGCCTCGAAATCCGGGGAGTGTATGATGAACTCCTGTGAAGGGAGATGCCAGGGCCAAGGAATCAGAAAGACCAACAGGAAAACCTTGGTGAAGAAGCAGGCAAGAAAGTATGGGGGCTTATGTGCTAGCAGGTGCGACAGCCTGCGTGGTGGTCCCTCCCCACTTGTCCTTGCCCTCTGCAGGGCTGCACATGGTATACAGCAGCTCAGGCCAGAGTTCACAGTCAGCCGTGTGGATGAATGGACCGTAAGCAAGTGCCAAAGCCTGAGCTTCATTTTCTGCACACGGACCAGGTAATGGGGAGGATGGGACTCCCAAAGCATATAAAGGAAGGAGGCGGCTGGGCACAAGCCTTAGACAAGTAGAGAAAGGGGCCTCCACACCCCGTCCAGCACCGACCATCCCTGACATCTGAGACCCATGTCTCTCCCACCCTGCACACTAGGAGCTTCTAGAGAACCAGCCGCCCGTCCCCACAGGGTCTCCCTGAAGAAGGCAGTGTCCAGGCAGAACAATGCCTAGCAATGCCCTAACAGTGGTCAGCGACATGGGTGTCACAAGGGGAAACGTGGCAAGGAGCAGAGATCTAGGCAGCGATGGGCAGAGCAGGCCTCTCAGCCGCCAAAAGGTCCATGGACATGTAAGCAAGGCAGGCCCCAGGACTGAGGTTGGGAAGAACTACCCTCCCTTGGAACACTTCATGTAGCATGAGGACCTGATCCTCTATGTGTCCCCATGCCCATCTGCTCAGCATGGAAGGCAAAGGCTTCATGCCTCAGCACAAGGCATGCTCTCAGAGGCATCTGACAGTGACCTCCAATGACTGTGTGTGAGGGGACAGCACTCTTGATTAGTTATTGTTCATTTACATTTCATGTGTTCCACCCAGGGTCTGGGGAATCCAGAACCTACCTGGGTGGCAGGATCGTAGTGAGCTGTTGTTCGCATGGCCTTGGTGTTACTCCCGTGACTCAGTTCGGTCAGAGCAAAACATCCAAAAATCTACACGTCAAAGTACAAAGTGACGCCAGGGTTACGATGTGTTCCTGTGTGTATTCCTGCAGTGACCATTCCACCATGAACCCCGCAGGACTAACGCCAGGAGCCCAGGCACACCTCTCCCTGCCCATGTAACCAGACTACGGCATGACTGAGTCATCCTACTGCACTGGGTACCACGCTCACCTACAGGCTGCAAAGACTTTTACAGTCAGAGGAGGCCATGGGGGCATTCAGTCAGACAGGAAAGCAAAGTCTACAGCCAAACTTGGTGGGCAAGCAAAGTGACAGCCTGCCAGCATGTAGAAAAGCAGGGCCTGGTCTCCCCAGGCTTCTCCTGTGACCTGCCTGTCCACGGCTAAGTATGGCAATGGTACTGGTCTCACAGCTCACCATGGACGACTCACCTCCAAGCTGTAGATCTTTTCAAGGTACTTGAGACGCTGCTCAGAACCAGAATTGAAAATTGCGGATCCAAAAACCTGAAATGTAACACAGATGGGGGGTGTGCGTGTGTATGTGCGTGCGTGTGCGTGTGCATGTGCGTGCGTGTGCATGTGCATGTGTGCTGCCACTCCTAGCTCAGGGCAGGCACACCTCACACCTACCCTGCATACTCTTCACCTCACCTCTTCCTACCGGATTGCACTACATTTTGAATACCTATATTTTATCCAAGAACCCATGGGTGCAAAAAATTTGCACTCAAAGCTGAAAATCTGGCCTTGTCACTTAACCTTAAATCCCGAATATTTTAGGAGCCATGTGGTTGTGGTTTGCACCTAATGTGTGTGGACATGGGCTCCCTGCTCTCTGCCTCACACTCACCAACATGTGGAGGCCACATTTGTAAGCCAGGGACCAGTCGTACATGCCCAGGCAGTGAATCAACGCTGGGATCCTCAGGGGTTCCTTCAACAGTTCTTCCACGCGGAAGAACCCATACTCAAAGACCCGCTTGCAGCGAAGGAAGTTCAGCTCTCGTTGCTTCTCTAGAGGCAGATCGGTCCCATATGAGCGGGCGAAGAGAGGGTCATTCTCCAAAGTCTCGAAGATGGTTTTCTGTAAACACAGGGCGCAGGGTGCCAACTTGAAGGCCAAAGGCGGAGTTTCCTGGGACCCATCTTGGGGTGAGAGGAAACAGACTCACGCTGTCCCAAGAGCTACCCATCTCTATTAGGGCCAGGAAAGCCACTGGGCTTTGGAATTTCAAAGTCACTTCTGTCAGGGAGTAAAGACACAGACCCCACGCGGACCTCACCTTGAAGTGGAGCATATCCTCACCATCCCAGAAGAGCAGCAGCTCCTTGGAGCTGAAGGAAGCTCTTGCTCGGTAGGCAGTAAGTGGGCCCTTGGGGATGTCTGGCCATGAAGCACTGTCTTTTCCTTCTGGGGTAGATGCCATGGTAGCGTTAACCTGCACAGAGAAGCAAACCTGCTGCGTGACACCACTGTGGACAGCCACACCATGTTAGAACAAGAGCAAAGCCAGTGTCCCCCAAGCAACAGCAGCAGAGGCAGCAAAGCATGAGCACGGAGGCACGGATGTCCAAAGAAGGATGAGGCAGCACTCCCCTCGAGGATGGCATTTCCCTCCTGGACTGCACTCCTGAACAGGCAGTGAGGACACAAGGCAGAGTGTGCCATCTGCGGAAGGAGCCAGAAGGGGGGCCAAGGTAAACAGGCGGTGACAAACCAGGTAGCTGTGAACAGTGCAGCTTGAGGGCACTGTGGTCTTTCGGGTATCAGGAAGTTCAGGTCCCTTATGGCTCACTAGGCCCAGAGCCAGGGAGCTTCCCCTCTGCAGTCTTGCTGCTAACAACACGTGATGCCCCGGCTCTCCAGCCACGGAACACAGAAGCTGTGACTACTGTTGGTCTGTACTCAACACTCAGACATCCCGTTCACTATACAGGTAGATGCTTTTCACTAAAGGACTGTTCTGGCATTCTCTGAATAAACGGGGTCCTCTTCCAGCGATCTGATTCATCGTAGCATGGAGGCAACAAGAATCTGAGAGCCAAATCCAGGCAAGGAGACCCAAACACCTTTGGGATCCTTTGAGGTAACTGTTCAAAATAAACGGGGTCCTCTTCCAGCGATCTGATTCATCGTAGCATGGAGGCAACAAGAATCTGAGAGCCAAATCCAGGCAAGGAGACCCAAACACCTTTGGGATCCTTTGAGGTAACTGTTCAAGTGGTCTAGGGCTGGACTCCAGTGTGGGGTCGCAGTGCAGGTAATGTTTTCCTATGTGACAGGGGAAGCAGGGGCATAGCATGGCTGAGCACCTGCCCTCACTCACAGACCAAGTCCTACAAGACCTTCCCCAAGTCTGGGCCAAGAAAGTTGTCCCCATGGAAACACGAGCCACCAGATCCAAGGCCAGGTGGAAGAAATACAAAGACAAGAGCAAGGGCCCAAAGGACAGGCAAGGGAGGACAACAGAATAAGATCCAGGAACAAAAACTATGTCGTTGCAAGGGCTGACAGGACGGGCAAACTTCCACCATCTGCTCCCAGGAAAGAGAAAGCTCAGGTTTGATCGGGGACATCAAAACCCATCACAAACTAGAGGTACGTAGGAATATCTAAGTGGGAGTTAGCTCACAGAGGCAGTAAGCAGAAACAGGTCACGAAGAAAACTACACTATCTACGCATGCAACAGTGGAAAAGGACACAAGGTAAAAAAGGGAATGTTAAGGTTAAAACAGTGGAGCCAAGGCTGGAGAAATGGCCCAGTGCTCAAAAGCACTTACTGTTCTTGCAGAGTACATGGGTTTGCTTTCCAGCACCTACATACTGGCTTACAAATGTCTCCAGTTCCAGGGCATCTAACACTTCTCTGACCTCCTTGGGCTCCTGCACACGTGTGGTTCTTAGACATATATGCAGGCACATGTGTGTACACAAAATTAAATATTAAAACAAACAGACAGTGAAGCTTGCAATATAAGGACAGGGACATGATGTCTCCTACTGGGTACAAGACAGCTACGTGACTGGTAAGAGGCATGAAGGCTCTGAGGAACAAGGCCAAGTTTCCTTGCGGCTAGTTTCCGCAAGACTTCTCCCTGTTAGGGGAACATGTGCTGGGCATTGCTGCTTGCTACATATTCTTGCTTCTAACACACTGCTTCTAGTGCAGACAATTATAACTGACTACACTTCAAGTAAGGACGGCTTCTAACAACCCTGCCCCAGTTTAGGGAAGATACTCAAGACCATCCTGTAGATCAGCATTTCTCCGTGGGCCGTGACCCCATAGGTATTTGCATTATGATTCATAGCAGTAATAGTGAGATTACAGTTATGAAGGAGCAATGAAAATCATTTTATGGTTGCAGGGTCACCATAGATAGCATGAGGAACTGTATTAAAGGGTCACAGCCATAGGAAGATCTGAGGACCACTGCTGTAGACAGATAGCCAAGATTCTGGCAGCTCTGATGAGAGAGATTAATTTAATTAATAGCACTTGGAACACCTCCAGAACCCAAATGAGCAACTTGAGCTAGCCAGCCTTCTGGCAACACCAGCCACTAATAGCTAGCAGCTAAGGTCGGCAACAAAGTCATCATCAGAGATAAGCAATGGGGGCTGTGGCCACCTAACTGTGTGCACAGCAGATGGACAGCCACTGGCGAGTCTAGTTCGACAAATCCAGTCTACATAAGTAGTCTTGAAGTAATATTTTGTTTATGGTCTAACAAATAAAGCTTGCCTGAAAATCAGAGAAGGAAAGCGGCCAGCCACTAGAGAGTTCTCACCTCCACCAATGACCAGAACAAAGGGGGGGTGGTGATCCTGTCCTCAGAATGCATCTCTCTTGTCTCCTCCTGCCTTACATTCCTCTCTCCACCCAGCCATATCCCTCCTGTCTCCAACTCCTTAGTTCTGGAACTAAAGGGGTGTCACCAAGACCCAGCAATACCACTCTTGGGCATATGTCCAAATGACTGCACACTCACACCACACGGACATTTGCACAATTATGCTCATAGCAGCATTATTTGTAAGAGCCAGAACCTGGAGACAACCTAGATGCCCCTCAGCTGAAGAAAGGATAAAGAAGATGTGGTCCATTCACACAATGGAGTACTACTCAGCAGTAAAAAACAATGACATCTTGACATTTGTAGGCAAATGGACAGAACTAGAAAAAAAAAAAAAAAAAAGTCCTGAGCGAGGTAACCCAGACCCAGAGTAACAAATATACTATGTACTCACTCACAGGTGGATATTAGACATAAAGGAAAGGATAATTAGCATACTGTCCACAACCCCAGAGAATCTAGGCAACAAAGAGGACCCTAAGAGAGACATCCATGGATCTCCCTATGAAGGGAAAAAGACGCCGTCTCCGGAGTAAATGGGGAGTGTGGAGGATATGGGAGGGGGGAGGAGGGAAGGAAAGTGGGGGAAATGCACAGCTCAATAAAAACAAGGTAAAAAAAATTTAAGGATTAATTTAACAAATGTATATTCAAAAGTCCAAATAAAATATAAATGACCATGACGCAGCCAGAGAACATTTTGTCAGCCAGTCCTCCCCTACCATGTGTGTAGATCAAACTCCCATCAGCCTTGAGGGCCAGCATTTTTGCCTACTAAGCCATCTTGCACCCTCACCCCTTAAATTTTTTTAAAATTCTGTTTTATGCATTTATTCATTTTATTCATTCCTCTGTGTCAGCCTTGGTTACCTAGTGAGTCCCTTGCACACATTGCCACAATAATTCAGGGAGAGGAAGCAGTTTTTTTCTTTTTTTCAACAACTATGGACAGTTAGTTCCACGTGAAAGGACAAGGCTCTCACAGACGCAAAAATTAGCTTCGCATGGCACATATCTACATGCACACAAACTAGACCCTATCAAATTCTTAGAGGATGATGGAGAAGCCAATCTCATGTGATGGCTAACCCTGAGGGCCAGCTTGCCTGCATCTACAATCAACTAAAACACAAGCCTTTGGTCATTCCTGCTAGGGGTATTCTTGTTCAGATTCTCTGAAGCAGGAAAACCCCTTCTGGTGGCACCTCCCAGACAGGGGGACACGGGAGGGAACTTTCCTTTTCGCCTGCTTGCTCTCGCTCTCACTGGCAAGTTCATCTATCCTGTTGCTGAGGCATTCCTTCCCTGGTATTAGAGCCAGCTTCTTCAGGGTTCCAACAAAGACTAAAGACCAGGAGGCCCCCAGGAACCTCCCAGGACTACAACCCCAAACTGGGACTTTTGAGCTATCCAGCCTTGTGGACAGAGCAGCTACTGGATTTTTTGGTGAGACAGCCATTGTTATATTATCCAGGCCATATCCTGTAACCCAATCTAATAAATTATATGTATATAGTTTACATATATATGAGAATATATATCGAAAGGACTAGAGTTAGCACAGGACACACTAAGACCAAGTTCTCAGCACAAAGGAGATTTGTTTGTCCCAGAGGGACAAAGACAGGGATAGGAGACAAAGGGGAGAGGATAAAGAGGGCAAGGGGGAGGGGGTAAAGGGGGCAAGGGGGAGGGGAAAGGGGTATTTGCCTCAGAGGGACAAAGGACATCTCTGGTTAGAGAGGAGACAGATGTGGCCCATAAGCAAATGGCAGTTTATAAAAGGAAAAGGGGAAACCCTGTGTTAGGTTGAGGTGTTTAATTTTAATTGGACAGGTTAACTAGCATAGTAAAAGACAGCCTTTTGTTGCTGGGCTTCGATACTTTGAGAGCTGAACCTTGGTGGTCAGCCTCAGGAGGATGAAGTAGCTAAATAAGGAAATAGACCTTGGTGGCCGGCTTTAGGAGTGTGAAACAATTTTTTTAGCAACGGGGAGAAGTATAAAAGGTAAAAACCTGTGAGCATCATGTTTGCCATGCTTGGGCCTGCAAAAGTCCTTCCATCAGTTATTTTCCTTTAGCGAACCCTAATACAGGCCATCATAGGCAACAAGAGAAAGTGGGTTTCATCTTAACTAAAAACATCTGTGCTCTAGATCCTAGGTCCTCACCAACCCCCAAAGGCCCCATGCCACCTGAGGTCACCAACATAGCTACACTATGGTACAGCTGTCACAAACACAGAGCCGCAGAGCCAGGTTGCCCTGGCTCCAACCCCAAGAGTTTACCAGTACAGTGGCCTTACCAAGTTGCTTTGCCACCCTGTTTCTCGGGAGCAAGGATGTGGGCACACAGGGCAATGTCTGCCTAGAAGGTTCCTGGGACACAAATCAGGCCCCTTGTTATGTTCTGACGTTTCCTCCAGTCTTTCTCTCTATTTAAAATAAAACATGAGGCCTTAGTTTTGGTGAAGTCCTCTATGTACAGCCCCAACAAACACTAACACACTGCACTATGAGACTAACTTTCAGGCCACCTGGGAGATTCCAGTCCTCCTGGCCTTCTGGGCAGATTTCCTCTCTGCCTCAGTCTCCAACAAAGTAGCTGAGTTTCCACCTTCAATCTGTCCCTTGTCTCGATCCCTCTAGTTTCCACTTTAAAAATCTAGTTTCATGCTGGGCATAATGGACTAGCCTACTGTCCTGGTTACTGCCGAGACTAATGAGCCAGGAGGACAGAGTTCAAGGTCAGCCTGGGCAACTGAGACCATTAGGGAGAATTAAGGTCCTTGGGTGTAGATCAATGGTAGCCAGCCTGCTTCCTAAGAATTCGCTATATTCAGAGTTCAGCGCACACGAGAAGTATGAATAGGATCCCACCTAGACCCGCTGGGGAGCAGCCCGTAAACACTACAAACAAATTCGATCAGCAGCTAACTTTGCTCAAATTCTGCCTTAAGATAACTCCCTGCGGAGAGGCAGCCTCTAAAAACTGCGGCCAGCTCTTTCTCTCACTACAGAGCATGACCTCGGGGCAGAGTGCAAACTCCAGCAGACCCCTGTCCTGTCTTGAACCTCCCGGGCCCCGCAAGTCCTCACTGCTCGGATCCAGTTCGGGGTCGGCGGGACTAGTCACCCTGGCGTCCTGCGCACAATGTTGATCAAGACTGTTCTGGTGTCTGAGGATGGGGCAGGCTGGCGAAACCTGTTTGACACCCACCCATCCTGGCGTGTGACGTCATCCCTCCGAGACGCTCTCCCCACCTACTGCCCCAAGTATCGGCTGGCTGCTTATGTCATCATTCCGTGCCAATCAGTAACCAGGGGAATACAGAAGCTTCCGAAGGCTCAGCTCAGACGCGGTTCTGGGTTGGGAGTTACAGGATTTCGTGCCGGTCGCCCTCGGCCCAGGTCACAGCTGTCCCGTTTTGATCCAGGCCTCTCGAGGCTCTGGGGGCACTTTCGGGGAGAGTGGGACCGCGGCTCCTTTAAGATGCACTTTACCCAAAATTGCTCCTAGTTTCCGAGAGGGGCTTACCTGAACAGGAACTCCTAGAACAGTGCTCCTGAAAGAGGTCCTCCAACCGCCAGGAGCATTCCCTGATACATTTGTGCCTGCACATATTACACAGTAACAACAACAATAGTGGCTGTGGCAGTGGAGTTGGATGGCTGGGCGGAGGAAACAGAGCTGTTGACTATCAGTTCTGTGGGAGAGAGGTGTCATTGCAGTAGGTAAGAATATAGAGAAAACTTACAAAGCATATTCAGTCTCCCCTCCCCTGTGTGCACCTCCTGCTCCCCCCATCCCCAATTTTCCAATTCTCCGACTCTGCCCAGCCCTTCTTCTCAGGGCTCGCTCAGCATGTTTAGATGCCATCATTTCAGTCTTTCTGTGATGATTGGGTTAAAGACTTGCCCAATCCAGTGCAATGGTGAAGTTTTCTTACAACCCTGGCACCAGGCGAACTGAGGTAGAGGATCACGAGTTTCAAGCCAGGCTGGCTGACAAAACAACATCCTTCAAGTAAATAAGTCAGTCTGTCATTCTCAGCTCTGACCTGGTTTACCTGTTCTCAATCTCCTCCCACCTCTATTGTCCCCTCCTGGTCTTAGGACACTGCCTAGCCTGTGTGTGACAGAATTGGTCACCTCTGTGTTGAACCCAGGGGACATTGAGACTTCAGAATGGTGGTAAGAGAAAGGACTGAACTGTGACTTCCTCCGGCTCAGACCGCGCTAAGGTCATCGGAAGGGTCTCATATTGCAGGAAAGAAAGGGTTTTGCCCTTGCCTCTTTACCTATTTCCTGATAAGACTACCAAAGGCTGCAGGTAGGATGGCTCTTTGGGTGGCCCAGCTGAGAGCAACCTGGCAGTGCCTGAAGGAACCCCACCAGCTGACCCCACCCCTGCTCCCTGGCTCCGAACTTTGCCTCCACCACATTCCACTGCCCTGTCATGCCATCCCCCACTTTTAGTCACTTGTTCTGCTGGCTGTCACTGGTACTCTTGAGTGTTTGCACAGTGTTTGTTTGTTGTTGGGAGTGGTGTTTGAGACAGTGTCATGTAGCCCGGACTGGCACCAAATTTGCCATGTATCTCGGGATGGCCTTGAACTCCTGATCCTTCTGTGGTGAGGATACAGGTATGTGCCAACACACTTGACTGCACATTGTTTTTGGTTTTTTTGGGTTTTTCCAGACAGGGTTTCTCTGTGTAGCTTTGTAGACCAGGCTGGCCTCAAACTCACAAAGATCCGCCTGTCTCTGCCTCCAAGTGCTGGGATTAAAGGCAGGCGCTGCCGCCCGCCGCCGCCGCCACCCCCCCCCCCACCTGGCCTTGACTGTACATTGCTAAAGTTTACTCCCGCACTCTGGTCCCTTGTCTCTCCCCGTACCTTCCCTATCACCACCACACCCCCATAAGTCCAAGACTCACAGGAAAGTGACGGGGAAACAGTCATCACAACGCTCAGCATAGAACATGGGTGGTGACAGCTCTGCCAGGACCATCCACACCAGGCCCCTTCTAGCTGTAAACTCATCTGAAAAGGGTGCTGTGTTGTAAGATGAACACACACATGTTGAGGTGTGTCATTGTGAATGTTCCCAGTGTGAACCAATGGAGGGAGGAATCCCACTGGAAACCTACCCATTCAAGCCCGTGGTTGTTGACCTGAAAAGAAAAGCAGGCTCATGCTCTCAGGAGTTAAAAGAACTTCCGTGGGATTAGGAGAGCATTGCACCCCAGCCATGCATGGTGTGATTGATCACAGCGTACCTAATGATGTAGGGACCAAAGGGACATTCTCACAAACCATCTGTAACCAGGGCTTGCTGCAGGCCTTGGCATTAGCTCACTGGTGAAGACGTACATATGTGTTTGTGCAGGCTGTCTGCCTGGATTGCTGCAATCTCAGGCAATCTTCTGAAGAGGAAGAGCCTTCCATTGCTGTAGGCTGGTGTTCTGGGAAGGGTTCTTGTGTGTAAGCTGAGTTTTCCCATCCCAGTGGCCACTTCCAAATAACCAACACATAGTCTTACATTAATTGTAAATGCTCAGCCAATAGCTAGAGTTACTACTAACTAGCTCTTACATTTTAAATTAACCCATGTCCCTTATTTACCCTCTGCCATGTCGGGTATCTTTATTAGCATGGGCATCTCCTCCTCCCTGTGTTTGCCTGCGACTGTTCTCATCCCGCCCTTCCTTATCCCATCGTTCTGTTTGGCTTTCCCGCCTAACTATATCCTGTTCAGCTATGGCCAGTCAGCTTACTTATTAAACCAGCCACGGTGACATCTGTTCACACAGTGTGAAGAAATACTTCATAGCAGTTGTGGGAAACTATCCCACTGGACACAGTGTCTGTTTACACTGCCCTGCGTACTCTCATCAACAGCACCACCCTTTGCTTTACTGTGAGGCATATATTATACAGTCTCTGCCCCATTTCCACTGACTTGAGCATCCACCAGTTTTGGTCGGTTTAATTTGTTTTGGTAGAGGTGGTAGGACATTCAGGCCCTAGTAGCATATCCTGTTGGGCTACTATATGCCTCAAAAACAGACAAACAAAACCACCAAATAACAAATAACCCCTTTATATTTTAATAGCAGCTACAATGAGGAGTAATGGCCAAGTCCCAAACCAGTGACACCTTCCTGGTAAACATTCATTCCCTTCGGAAAACTTTGCCCTTTACTTTTGGCAATAACAACAAATATGGGCATGAACTTGTGTTCCCCCTGTGAAAGCTGGGGTGACCTGGGAAAGCATTTTGTTGGGTTCTGGCCCCTTTATTTGGACAGTCGGGTATTCCAGAGTCCAGATTTTGGGAAAAGTCACAGATCATTTCTCTTTAAATTACTTGTCACTGAATGTTCTCTCGTGGCAACTTTTAGGTTAGAGGAGCCACACTGAGTCACTAGCGGCTCTCTCTCTCTCTCTCTCTCTCTCTCTCTCTCTCTCTCTCTCTGTCTCTGTCTCTCTGCCTCTCTCTCTCTCTCTCTCTCTCTCTCTCTCTCTCTCTCACACACACACACACACACACACACACACACCTTACTTTCCACGACCAATGGATACTGACTTGATGGTCAGCCCCCTGAATAGGTTGGTTTTGCCATTCATCAGGCTGAGGGGCCCTTTTATCTATCTGTATAGAGAACGTGAGGAGGCAAAAGGAAAGTTCTTCAAGGACTATTAGGTTTTGATGACTTTTGTATCCCTTGGCTTATGCTAACATTGAGTTCATGGCAGCACACAGCATGAACAGCAACAAGCTGTGCCCTCTAGTGTTGTATCTGTGTAGGCCTGGGACCCTGAGTCCTACAGTGTTATAGCTCTTACATATATGTCTAGAGTGTCCGAATTCCACAGCCTTTCATAGCACTAGTGTCACAGCTCCTGGGTGTAGGGTGTCTGAGACCCTTGGCTCTCAAGTCCTAACAGCTCTCTGGAATTCTTCACGGGGCCTATAGCTTTTCTCTGTTCTTTACAGCCTTCCATCCTTTAGCCTCCACGCTGCACACTCTATCCCCGATGTTCTACTCTCTGGCTTGGCTGCCCTCTGACTTCTCAGCTGCCTCTTTTGCTTATGGCTGCTGTCACGGTTGCTGCCACCGCAGTGTTTTCTCGTGCTGTCCTCATTGATGATGGTTAGCAGCTGCTACCGCCATCAGTTCCCTGCTACCACCCACTGCCAGCTCCTGCCACCCTTCTGTTGCTGCTCCCATGGCCCCTCCAGCCCACTCCTGCAGCTCCCCTGCTGCTGTCGCTGCTGCTGCTGCTGCTGCTGCACCGTCGCACTCAGGGGCTGCACTTTGCTTCAGCAGCAAGCACTTGTAATTGTTGTGTAGCTGCTCCAAAGTGCCTGCGGGTCAGCCTGGCTCCCCGGGAGTCACAGTGGAGCCCG